ATGGATAGATAGATAGATGGATGGATGGATGGATGGATGGATGGATAGATGGATGGATGAACAGACGGATGTAGATGGATGGATGGATAGATAGATAGATAGATAGATAGATAGATGGATGAACAGACGGATTAACTGATAGATAGATAGATAGATAGATAGATAGATAGATAGATAGATAGATAGATAGATAGATAGATAGATAGATAGATAGATAGATAGATGGATGGATGGATAGATGAATGGATAAACAGATAGATGGATGGATGAACAGACGGATGTAGATGGATGGATAGATAGATAGATGGATGGATGGATGGATGGATGGATAGATGGATGGATGAACAGACGGATGTAGATGGATGGATGGACGGACGGATGGATGGATGGACGGACGGACGGATGGATGGATAGATAGATAGATAGATAGATAGATAGATAGATAGATAGATAGATAGATAGATAGATAGATAGATAGATAGATAGATAGATGGATGGATGAACAGACGGATTAACTGATAGATAGATAGATAGATAGATAGATAGATAGATAGATAGATAGATAGATAGATAGATAGATAGATAGATGGATGGATAGATGAATGGATAAACAGATAGATGGATGGATGAACAGACGGATGTAGATGGATGGATAGATAGATAGATGGATGGATGGATGGATGGATAGATGGATGGATGAACAGACGGATGTAGATGGATGGATGGACGGACGGATAGATAGATAGATAGATAGATAGATAGATAGATAGATAGATAGATAGATAGATAGATAGATAGATAGATAGATAGATAGATAGATAGATAGATAGATGGATGGATGAACAGACGGATTAACTGATAGATAGATAGATAGATAGATAGATAGATAGATAGATAGATAGATAGATAGATAGATAGATAGATAGATAGATAGATAGATAGATAGATAGATAGATAGAAAGATGGATAGATAGATGGATGGATGGATAGATGAATGGATAAACAGATAGATGGATGGATGAACAGACGGATGTAGATGGATGGATAGATATATAGATGGATGGATGGATAGATGGATGGATGAACAGACGGATGTAGATGGATGGATGGACGGACGGATAGATAGATAGATAGATAGATAGATAGATAGATAGATAGATAGATAGATAGATAGATAGATAGATAGATAGATAGATAGATAGATAGATGGATAGATAGATGGATGGATGGATGAACAGACGGATTAACTGATAGATAGATAGATAGATAGATAGATAGATAGATAGATAGATAGATAGATAGATAGATAGATAGATAGATGGATGGATGGATGGATGGATGGATGGATGGATGGATAGATGGATGGATAAACAGATAGATGGATGGATGAACAGACGGATGTAGATGGACGGATAGATAGATAGATGGATGGATGAACAGACGGATTAACTGATAGATAGATATATAGATAGATAGATAGATAGATAGATAGATAGATAGATAGATAGATAGATAGATGGATGGATGGATGGATGGATGGATGGATGGATGGATGGATGGATGGATGGATGGATGGATGGATGGATAGATAGATAGATGGATGGATGAACAGACGGATGTAGATGGATGGACGGACGGATGAACTGATAGACAGACAGAACTATGCCACAACTGCTTCTGATTAAGCTTTACTTGTATCCAGAATGAATGAGGAAGTTAATAATGGCTCAGATGTGTGTCAGTGATTATAGTGAGCATAAACTCCTCAATGATAACATTCTGATCTCTAATCCTCTGTCCCTCTCTCTGGCCAGGGCAGTGTTTGAGAGGAAGCGCTGGACCACAGGCATGTGACGGCCGCTGAGGTGGAGGTGTCCGGTGAAAGATGACTTTACTGGCGGGCGATGGTTCGGATTACGACTACAGCGCTTTAAGCTGCACCTCGGACACCTCTCTGAACGCTCCCCCCATCCAGGAGCGAGAGGCTCTAAAGGGGGTTTACTATAAACGAGCGCAACGACTGCCCCCGACTGACCCCAACACCCCCGACGCGCCCCGTCCCGACGACACCTGTGGCCAGCGCCTGCATGTCATCATTAACGTGGGCGGCCTCCGGTACCAGCTTCCCTGGACCACGCTGGAGGACTTCCCTCTCTCGCGTCTGGGACAGCTACGCCTGTGCAGCAGCTTCGATGAGATCATGCGTGTGTGCGACGACTACGACGTGGTCCACAACGAGTTCTTCTTCGACCGGAGTCCCTGCGCCTTCAGGACCATCCTCACGTTCCTGCGCGCCGGGAAGCTGCGCTCTCTGCGGGAGATGTGCGCCCTGTCCTTCCAGGAGGAGCTGCTCTACTGGGGCGTCCCGCAGGAAAGCCTGGAGTGGTGCTGCCGGCGACGCCTCCTGCAGCGCGTGGAGGAGTGCGACGAGCTCGAGCGGGACGAGGACGAGGAGGACGACGACGAGGATGATAGCGGAAGCGGATCGGCCGGGGAGACTCGTCTCGGACGCTGCATGGATAAACTAAGAGACATGGTGGAGAAGCCTCACTCCGGCCTGCCCGGGAAGATCTTCGCCTGTCTGTCGGTCCTGTTCGTCACCATTACAGCCATCAACCTGTCCATAAGCACCATGCCTGCTATGAGAGAGGAGGAGGAGAGTGTGAGTGTGCATTTTTCTACAAACATGTTAAGCTGCACAGCTGTTTTCAACATTGATACTAATCAGAAATGTTTCTTTAGCAGCAAATCAGGTGTACAGGTTCGTCCATCTATCTATCCGCGTTCAGTCATTTTTCAAAAAAAATTTAAAAAGAGAATTCGGCTTGATTTCATATTTCAGCATCTATCTATTCTAGGTGAACCCAACGCGAACAATGGTGTAATGATTCAGGTCGACTCCCAAGACAAGACGATGCTCAAACCGACTGGCCAATAGGAACGTTCCAATAGGAAAAAAAGACACAATGACACAATTTTCACAGCTAAAGCAAAATCCTGACACGAGAGCAAAGAAAAGCGTTTTGAGAGAAACACTTTTTTTTTTAGAGAAAATGTTTTCATACTGATAGCAAATAATATATATTTGAGATTTTTTTCAAAGTATTTTGAGAGATTTTTTTTCTCAGAAATAATTTGAAAAATTTCAAATTTATATTTTTTTATGTTCTATGAGAAAATACTTTCTCTCAAAACTTTTTTTAGTCTCAAATATTATTTTTTGCTATTGGTATGAAAACTTTTTCTCTCAAATATTATTTTTTTCTCTCATGAAATGCTTTTTTGCTATCAGTGTGATAACTTTTTCTCTCAAACTTTTTCTTTTCTTCTCTCAGATCATTTATTTTCTCGCATGTTATAAAGACTCATTTCTAGCTCCATACGTTTCATGCCCGGCCCATGTGGAAATTGAATATTCAAGCCGTTTATCCATTTTCTACCCATGAATCTAAAAATATAAAATCAAGCCGAATTCGCGTTTTTTTTTTTTTTTTTTTTTTTTTTTTTTTGGGAAAACACAAAAAAACTAATAAATGAGCCGTTTTTCTCATTTTTCTACTTTCAATATTAAATCAAAAAACGACTTGATACACGGATTGACATGGACCAAATCATCACATTAGAATGATCATGTGACTCTGAAGACTGGAGTGATGCTGAAAATCCAGCTTTGATCACATTAATAAATTACATTTTACAATAAATTAAAATAGAAAACAGTTATTTCATAATATTACAGGTTGTATTGTATTTTTGATCAAATAAATGCAGCCTTTTTGAGCATAAAAGATGTCTTTCAAAAACATTCAAGAAATCTAACCAACCCCAAACTTTTGAATGATACTGTAAATCAGATTTGTACTATTTTTTTTTAAACACTATTACACCAGTATTATAATATTGGCTGATACAGCGAAGCTGTCTAAATAAAAATAAAAAAAATAAAAAAACCACTAAAAACTAAACGTATTCATTATAAATATTACATGTGAATTATAGCATCAAACATGTGATGACATGTATGAAAAATTAATTAATTTAGAGATTTGCTAAAGATTACATTTAATGATGTTATTAATTTATTCATTTTTAAAGATTAACTTTAGTTGTCTAAAGTTAGCATTAGTTGATGTCTAATGCAAATGTAAAAATAAGGGAAATTAGCATGCATTAAATATCCAATAAAAAAATCATTAAAAAAAAACTCTACTACTGGCCATAACTGAGGTGGTACTGATATTATAGTGATTCCCTAAAAAATGCTTTCTAGCTTCATTCCTGTAATTGGATCTCAAACACACATGAACCAGCTAATAAAGGTCTTTACGTTCACAATTACAGCCAGGCATCTCAAAACTCATCTCTGCAGGAAGGAAGATCTCAAGAATCAAGCTCACTTACTTCAATTCATCGAGCTCCAAGACCCCTGTTCAAAATGGTTCTGCTCAACCAGAGGAAATCTGCTCCAGCAGACAGTTTTGCTACAGGAGAGGTCATCTTTTTTCCAGAAATGATTTGTGGCAATTAGACCGAGTCGCACGTTAAACCAGCTCCGTCACTAATTCAATTAAGGCACCCATTGTCTCGGCTCACATCAGTCACTGGAATAATTCAAATGGCTGCCCCCGGTAAAGAGAAAAACAGAGCATGGAAGATTAAATTAAGCATTAGACCAACATAGCACTAGCATGATAGTCTTCTTCCATATGTCCTTTGTGTATGTCACAGGCTATTTATGGCAATCTACTGTGAGGATTGAAACAAGACATTTGTAGGATTTTTTCCTCACATTTTCTAATCAAGTATTTACTGACAAATCCAATTAAAATTGTTACATTTATAGCCTATTGACCTCATTTTGCCATCTTGGTGACATTTAGTTGGTTCTAATTGTTTCTTCATAGTAATAATAATAATAATCTTAAGAGGGTTTCTTGGTGGATGGTTTGTCTGCATGGGTTTATTTTTGAGAGGTGAAGTAGTTCTAACAAGTGCTGAAGCACTAAATATAAAATAAATGCAATAAATATTTATATTATGAGGTGTATCATTGGCACCCTTTTCACAGGTGAGCTGAATACATTTACTGTACCACAATCAACACATTTTTCTTACTTTGTTGCTGTTAGTCTTCAAGGTGAAATCCTAGGATTTAATGAGAATGAATACACACTGAGGATCGAGGTGAGACAAGGTGATCTAAAAATGCAGCAAAGTTCTGAAAACACCTTTAGGAAGGATGTGTTTCCATTAACCTCCAGCTTCCTCTAGTGGTCTACTAGCAGTATTGCAACTCAGAACCAGACATTGGCTGGGAATCAGAGGATTTTTATTTTTTTATTTTTTTAAGGGACAGTTCAGCCAAAAACATTCTGGCGTCATTTACTCACCTTGATGCCATTCCAAAGTAGTACGAATTTTTTTCTTTTCTAATGCAGAACACAAAATAAGATATTTTATGATAAGAAGTTGTATGTTTTAGCTGTTTTTGTCCGTTCAGTGAAAGTCAATGGGGTCCAAAAGTTTCAAGCTCAGGAAAGATGATACTAAGCAAGATATAAGATTATTCACAACATTTGAACAAATGAAGTCTTGCAAAAACACGTTACAGTATGAAACACTGCTCTTTAAACCTTTAAATGTTTTTGTTGTGAATAACATATATATATATATATATACACTATATTGCCAAAGGTTTTGGGACGTCTGCCTTTACATGCACTTTAATGACCTCCCATTCTTAATCCGTAGGGTTTAATATGGAGTTGGCCCACCCTTTGCAGCTATAACAGCTTCAACTCTTCTGGGAATGCTTTCCACAAGGTTTAGGAGTGTGTTTATGGCAATTTTTTACCATTCTTCTAGAAGCGCATTTGTGAGGTCAGACACTGATGTTGGATGAGAAGGCCTGGCTCGCAGTCTCTGCTCTAATTCATCCCAAAGTTGTTCTATCGGGTTAAGGTCAGGACTCTGCGCAGGCCAGTCAAGTTCCTCCACACCAAACTCAGTCATCCATGTCTTTATGGACCTTGCTTTGTGTACTGGTTTGCAGTCATTTAGGAACTGGACAGGGCCATCCCCAAACTGTTCCCACAAAGTTGGGAGCATCAAATTGTCTTGGTATGGTGAAGCATTAAGAGTTTCTTTCACTGGAACTAAGGTGCCAAGCCCAACCCCTAAAAAACAACCCCACACCATAATCCCCCCTCCACCAAACTTTACACTTGCCACAATGCAGTCCAGTAACGTTCTCCTGGCAACCGCCAAACCCAGACTCGTCCATCGGATTGCCAGACAGAGAAGCAGAGAAATGTCCAGAATGGACTTATTGTACAGGTGTCTGTCAACTTATCACGGTACCACACTTGAATTCACTGAGTTCCTGAGAGCGACACATTCTTTCACAAATGTTTGTAGAGGCAGTCTGTATGCAGGTCCTTGATTTTATACAACTGTGGCCATGGAATTGATTGGAACACCTGAATTCAATGATTTGGAGGGTGTCCCAATACTTTTGGCAATATAGTGTATATAGTTTATATACTGAACAAAATTATAAACGCAACACTTTTTTTTTTTGCCCCCATTTTTCATGAGCTGAACTCAAAGATCTAAGACTTTTTCTATGTACATAAAAGGCCTATTTCTCTCAGATATTGTTCACAAATCTGTCTAAATCTGTGTTAGTGAGCACTTCTCCTTTGCCGAGATAATCCATCCACCTCACAGATGTGGCATATCAAGATGCTGATTAGACAGCATGATTATTGCACAGGTGTGCCTTAGGCTGGCCACAATAAAAGGCCACTCTAAAATGTGCAGATTGGGGAGTCCGGAGGGGTCCGAAAACCAGTCAGTAACTGGTGTTACCACCATTTGCCTCACGCAGTGCAACACATCTCCTTCGCATAGAGTTGATCAGGTTGTTGATTGTGGCCTGTGGAATGTTGGTCCACTCCTCTTCAATGGCTGTGAGAAGTTGCTGGATATTGGCAGGACCTTGAACACGCTGTCGTATACGCCGATCCAGAGCATCCCAAACATGCTCAATGGGTGACATGTCCGGTGAGTATGCTGGCCATGCAAGAACTGGGATGTTTTCAGCTTCCAGGAATTGTGTACAGATCCTTGCAACAGGTGGCCGTGCATTATCATGCTGCAACATGAGGTGATGGTCGTGGATGAATGGCACAACCATGGGCCTCAGGATCTCGTCACGGTATCTCTGTGCATTCAAAATGCCATCAATAAAATGCACCTGTGTTCGTTGTCCCTAACATACGCCTGCCCATACCATAACCCCACCGCCACCATGGGCCACTCGATCCACAAAGCTGACATCAGCAAACCGCTCACCCACAAGACGCCATACACGCCGTCTGCCATCTGACCTGTACAGTGAAAACCGGGATTCATCCGTGAAGAGAACACCTCTCCAAAGTGCCAGACGCCATCAAATGTGAGCATTTACCCAGTCAAGTCGGTCACGACGACGAACTGCAGTCAGGTCGAGACCCCGATGAGGACAACGAGCATGCAGATGAGCTTCCCTGAGACGGTTTCTGACAGTTTGTGCAGAAATGTTTTGGTTATGCAAACCTATTGTTGCAGCAGCAGCCGTCCGGGTGCAGTCAGCATGCCAATTACACACTCCCTCAAAACTTGCGACATCTGTGGCATTGTGCTGTGTGATAAAACTGCACATTTTAGAGTAGCCTTTTATTGTGGCCAGACTAATGGTACGGATCCACTTTTGCTACACGACTGAAGTGTGGTGTTGCGATGCCTCCCCTCATTTGAGCGTTGATGGGCGTTCCTGAAGTTTACCGCTATGGGTGTGGTTTTCAGCCAGCGGCCAGTCTAGAACAAAGGACCCTCGAGAGACTTCCCCCCGTCTCCATGTGCTCTACTTCTATTGGATAGTCGCGTTCAACGGATTCATTTGCATAAAGATGGGCATCGGCCAGCTTTTTTGACGCGCAGAATTTTTACAAATGCAGCGCCACCTTCCTGGGATGCTTTGCGGGCGCGTTAAAATCACTTGATGTCACCCATAGGAATAAAGTGGAGTGCGGCGCGACAGAAGTGTCGCACGGACAAGTGGATCTGCACCGTAAGGCACACCTGTGCAATAATCATGCTGTCTAATCAGCATCTTGATATGCCACACCTGTGAGGTGGATGGATTATCTCGGCAAAGGAGAAGTGCTCACTAACACAGATTTAGACATATTTGTGAACAATATTTGAGAGAATTGTGTACATAGAAAAAGTCTTAGATCTTTGAGTTCAGCTCATGAAAAATTAGGGCAAAAACAAAAGTGTTGCGTTTATAATTTTGTTCAGTGTATAACCCCCCAGGTTTTACTCACCCCGCTCTGCACGAGCCTCAAACCTGGGTGCCTGGCATGGGAGTCAGGCACTCTAACAAGGAGGCTTTGACATAGGCTACTTGCCATATACTTGCAAATCGAGACAACGATGAACTTACACTTAATGTTGAACGTCAAACTTTTTATCATCACTGAATACAATACAACATTACGTGAAAAAAATCAAATAAAACAAATAAGTGAAGAAAAGTAAAGATAATTAAATTACATTAAAATAAGAGTTTAGTGTTTTTAAGAAGGGTTTTTTTGGTGTGTTTTTAATGAGTTTTTTATGCTCACCAACACTATTTCTTTTTTTTGCAAAATACAGTGAAAACACTAAAATTGTGAAATATCTCTAGAATTTAAATGATTACATTTAACCATCATTACTCCAGTCTTCAGTGTTACATGATCCATCAGAAATCATTCTAATATGATAATTTGCTCCTCAAGAAACCAAATGCAGTTTTTTCAGGATTCTATGATGAATATGAAGTTCAGCATTTATTTGAAATAGAAATCTTTTGTAACATTATAAATGACTTTACTGTCACTTCTGATCCATGCTGAATAAAATTATTAATTTCTTCTTCTTACTGACCCCAAACCTTTGAACGGTATAATGTACCTATACATGCTATACACATAGTTATAAACTTTTCCATTGATCTCTTTCAGGGGAAATGCTCTCAGATGTGCTACAACATCTTCATAGTGGAGACGGTGTGTGTGGCCTGGTTCTCGCTGGAGTTCACGCTGCGCTTCATCCAAGACCGCAGCAAGTTGGCCTTCCTCCGGCGCCCGCTCAACCTGATCGACGTCATAGCCATCCTGCCCTACTACATCACGCTGGTGGTGGACAGCACCTCCACGGGGGAGAAGCGCTTGGGCTCGGGTAGCAGTTACCTGGACAAAGTGGGCCTCGTGCTGCGGGTCCTGCGGGCGTTACGCATCCTCTACGTGATGCGCCTGGCGCGCCACTCGCTCGGACTCCAGACGCTCGGGCTGACGGCGCGCAGGTGCACGCGAGAGTTCGGCCTGCTCCTCCTCTTCCTCTGCGTCGCCATAGCGCTCTTCTCCCCGCTCCTTTACCTGATCGAGAACGAGGCGGCGGCCACGCGAGAGTTCAGTAGCATTCCCGCCACGTACTGGTGGGCCGTGATCACGATGACCACGGTGGGTTACGGTGACATGGTGCCGCGCAGCATCCCAGGACAGGTGGTGGCGCTCAGCAGCATCCTCAGCGGGATCCTGCTCATGGCGTTCCCCGTCACCTCCATCTTCCACACGTTCTCGCGCTCCTACGTGGAGCTCAAACAGGAGCAGCAGCGGCTGCTTCAGCGCAGGACTCACTTCCTTCTGCGCAGTCGCATCGCGGGACTCGGCAGCAACCTGTCGGTGGAGAGCGACGTGCTCTTCCCTAGCGTCTCGTCTAACCACAGAGACAAAGAGGAGTAAAAGTGCAGGACTTAAGTGGAATGAAAAGCTTTTTTTATATATATCTTGAATGTTGTTTTACATATTGTCCATCAACAATCCATTAAAAGACTTTTAGGGAACGTTCCAGCAGAATTGACTTCCAAGTTAAACATATCTGAACCGTTCTGACCTCGCTATTCAAGGTCTTTGGGTTTATTTGAAAATGAATGACTTGATTTTAATGGAATAGGTCAGAAAGAAAAAAGAACATTCTGTCATCATTTATTCACCTTCATGGCACTCCAAAGCTTCTTCTGTGGAACACGAGAAGATCATTTTAAATAATACGTTAGTTGTTTTCCCCCCCATTCAATTACGATGAACTTTTCATGTCTTTCACAATTTTATGTCAAGTCACTTTTATTTATATAGCGCTTTATACAATACCGATTGTTTTAAATAAGCTTTACTGGGATAAACAGGAAAATAATAATGTAAACAAAATTAAATTCTGCTGTAAAAGCAGCTCTAAAAAAGACAATAGCGTCATAATTCAGCTGAAGTCAGTTCAGTGTGAATTCAGTTCAGTTTAATAACTGTGTAAAGTTTATAGAAATATGGAATGAGTTCAATTCAGCTAGAAAGCAATGATGTCATCATCCAGCTCTACACTGTAAAAAATAATCCTGTAAAAAAAAAAAAACGGTAACTACTGGCAGGGTTGCCAGCATCATACTGTAAAAATACGGTGTGTTACTGTTTTTGAAATTAACAGCTAAATACCGTATTGTCAGCTAAAGTATAAAACTTTAATTTAACAGCTACATGCTCTAACACAAAAACAGTAACACACCGTATAGTTACGGTATGATGCTGGCAACCACAGCGAGATGGTCCTCACTGCAGAACACGAAATCCAGGGGGTGGGGTTGGATCTAGATCCAACTCCTCCCACCTTACATATACCTAAACCTACCCATCTCCGCCCCCTGATCCCTAACCCCACCCCTAATCCTACCCATCTCCGCCCCCTGATCCCTAACCCCACCCCTAATCCTACCCATCTCCACCCCCTGATCCATAACCCCACCCCTAATCCTACCCATCTCCGCCCCCTGATCCCTAACCCCACCCCTAATCCTACCCATCTCCACCCCCTGATCCCTAACCCCAGCCCTAATCCTACCCATCTCCGCCCCCTGATCCCTAACCCCACCCCTAATCCTACCCATCTCCGCCCCCTGATCCCTAACCCCACCCCTAATCCTGCCCATCTCCGCCCCCTGATCCCTAACCCCACCCCTAATCCTACCCATCTCCACCCCTTAGATCTGGATCCAACTCCGCCCCCTGGATCTCTTTTACTGCAATGAGGTGCTACTGACCACAGCTGCCAGTAGTTTACCGTTTTTTTACAGGATTATTTTTTACAGTGTAGGAACCCGAACCCAAACTCCATCGGTGACGGAAATGGAGAACAAAATGGAGAAACCAGGCTCAGTCGCATCACAAGTTAGATAGATCCAGCTCCTCGCTTGAAGATCGGAAATGTCCTTAATAAAACTATCTTAAAGTTTCATGCAATGATTCATAATGACTTTCGAAATGGTTCGAAATTTGATTAAATGATTAAGTCATGAAGAGGACTTTGCTACTTCTCATGAACGCATAAGTGTTGTTATTGTTCACTAAAACTAAAACTATTCAAGATCATTTTCGGTGATTGAAAGAAAGCTAAAATAAATCAATTCAAATAAAATATAAATGTTAGATGAAAATCCTAAACTTAAACTTGCAACTGATTGAAATACATAAGATTAAGTATTAACATTACTAAAACGGAAAAATAAATAAAATGTATTAAACTGCTGAAAAAAAAACTCGAACACTAACAAAAGTGACAAAAGCACATAAAAAAATTACTAAAACTTAAACTAAAATTAAAATGAAAACTGAAAATATAAAAATAGAAGCTAATTCAACATATGAATAAATACAGTATAATCTATGTAAATAAATAATAGTATACAAATAATACTAATCCACATCATGGTCAGCGAAGGCATTTGGCAAGGTTTTCAGTAAAATAAAATTAACATTTCAGTCTGATTCTATGCAAAGCTATCATATGACTTGATATATAGTCATATCAACCACTTTTATGATGCTTTTTGTCATTTTCCAGCTTGACAGGTCCAGTTTCCATTCACTTACATTATATTAAAAAGAGTGGCCATGGAAGGGAAAGAAACTCCTCCAGGTTTGAAATGACATGAGGGTTAAAAAAATAATGACAGAATTTTTATTATTATCATTATTATTATTTTTGGTCGGGTGAACTATCCCTTTCCTATTTTTTTTCTTGTTGTTGTTGTTCAGGCTGCTTTTCAAAATCTTTCTGCCTAAAGATGTGGTCACTTCTTGATGAGGTCAGCATGGGATATTTACGTCCTCTATTGGTCAAACATGTTTTCACTATGAATTCACACCAAATTTCAATACACAGCAAAAGGCAAAACTTCTACACATATGCTTGTGATCCCGGTGCTCCCACATTTGCATGCATATGAATACAAGTGAATGCAAAAACAATTAAGTTGTAGTCAAATCGCACCTTAAGAACATGAAATTATTTAGTAAGACGGCTTATTTTACATGTTGTCCATCAACACTCCACTGTTGAATCACATTTATTTCAAGCCTTTAGTGCTGCATGAATATCTAACCTTCGTGCATATACATAAAACACATCAAAGACTAACATATCACATGAATGATATGTAAACACCAGGTTTGTGTTCAGTTTCGAGCTGCCATATGTTTGATTCAGATTTCACTCCGTTCAATTCTTTACCACGATTTACAATCTGTAATGTTTATTGCTAAGAGCTCATCTGCCAGGAACATCTCCCTATTTCTCACATGTGTGTTAGTGTGTGTCACATATGTTTTTTTAATAAGAATGTTAATAATAAATAACACATAACATGAATAAACCTGATTTCATTTTTAATTTTCATTTCTAATATTTTTTATGGTCTCATTTCTTACAAAACTTGTTGCTGAATATTACAGTAAATAACATATTGACATCATAAAACAACAGCCTTTTCAGAGAGCAACCAGTCACCGCCAGCAGGAGGCAGCATTGGCAAATCCTTGGAAATAAACTAGGATTTTCTGTAAAAAAAGCAATGTGCAAATGGAGGAAGACAGCAGGAATAAGCCCCAAGCTATAGTTTCTGGTATCTGGCTTTCAAAATCTGATGAGACTTGTCATGTTATAGAAAATGGCAAGCTTAAGGCATGCGCTCTTTAAAAAAAAGTGAAATCTACTAAACGAGTTCCAAATCCAATGAGGAATGTGCGTATGTCTGAATTCATCTTCTTTATGAAGATGCTGGCAAAACCTGCCTGAGAGTAAAAATAAATAAATTCCGACCTCTGTTGAGCTCTGAAAGTAGGCTATATAGGCGAATACATTTTTTTAAATAAAAGTGTTGCTTATTAAAAGCTCAGAACTAGTGATTTATTAAAACTTATTAAAAAGACTGGTTTTACCAGTGTCTTTACGCCAGTGGTGGTATTTTTTTATTCAGCGCAGTGGCTTGAATCTTTTAAATCTGTTCCAAAAAGTAAAGTGACCCTTGTTGCATGTTGCACATTACGCCAGTAGGTGGAGACAAGTGAGTGTCTTCTTTGAACCATTCACTCAACCGATTTAAAACACTGAGTCGCTGACGATTCGCATTCAGTCGGTGACTAGTCACTTTTAGATCAAAAAGTCAGTCATTTTTAGATCAAAACACTGACTCGTTCAGTGAAGTGTGTTCGTTTATCAGTCTAATGGCTTAGCTTTGAAAGCATAAGATCCCACCATTCTGCAAAGCATCACGAAATTACCTCATGTCTCAAATAACACAACATTACAATAATAATGAACATAAACAACTTAAAGACCTGTGCCACCTGACTGCTGCAGATTCATTTCGGCGTTGATGGTGTTGCCATTGAAACGCATAAATTTGTGTAGTTATAGCGGGAATTCAGCATAAGCTTATTGTTTTGGTTCAGGAGAAACTGTAAAAGGCAGCTGCTGTTTAGGTTGTGGCGCTTGTGACTGACTCTGTCTAACTCTGCATAGCATGAGCACTGATGACGTCTGTGCGAACAGGTGCACATAGGTATGAAAATACATATGTTGACAGACAGGTAGGACATACTATCATTGCATACGGGCCGAATGCAATGATTGGACGAACATTTTATGGTCCTACACTGTCCACAGACGATATAAATAAATACATTTAGACCACCTTACTTAGTGATTGTTGGATGTGAAGAGACTTTCAACCAACATAATAAAAAAATATTTCTGGAACAAATCATCTACCTTGCCTTTAACTTAATACTTAAATGATTCATTCGAGAGACAGGTTTGTTCAAAAAACGAAACCCTATATTTATATTTGTCAATAAAAGCTTTTGCGTTCGCCATATTTATTTATATATTTATTTACATTTATGACAGACTAGACTATGTAAGCCATATAAGATTGTATTTTTTAATTTCACTCTTTATTTCTTTATTTTTGCACCGAGCAATCTCAAAATGACGTTGCGGGTGCCCCAGATCCAGCAATAGGTGGCCCAGTTACCTTATATTCTCTACAGAGTCATGATAAAACCCATTCCAGGCTCTTTCTCTCTCACACTTTCTCTCTCCTGCAGTTGCAGACTTGTCTCTGCTAGTCAAGTGTAACGTAGTAAAACAGTGTCACGTCAAGCGCCCTGCCCTCTCCCAGCTGCCTTCAGTTTTCCCACCGTCTCATATGGGTGTCATGGGGTTGACTCCCCCTTCGGCCGTGTGCTGTTTCTAAGGGACGCAATAAGCACTGCTTATCCGGACAGGCATCAGATCATTCCGGATCGCTTTTGATCGTGACGTTGGATACATTAATTGTTACCGGCGTGAAGATGACTCGTGCAGCTGTGCGCGTTCCCAGGCAACCCCCGTCATGAACGCGCACTGAACGCGCTCACTCTCCGTTTCATTTCGTCTGTTAGAGCCGCAAAACATTAGGCATTGACTATGGAAAGCTGAGCCTCGTTCATTCATAGACCGAAAACAGTCAATCAAAGGTCATTCAGAGCAGCCAGAAAACAAAAGGCTTTTATTCACACCACATTTGTGGTTCTCGACAAGGTGAGTAGGCTATGAACGCCTTATTTTATATCAGATGTTTTTGTGAACCGTTGAGATTGAAAATACTAGACCTCAATGTGATTTTAGACAGATTTCCGGTTGATAAAATAAATAAAAGGTGTGGTTTATTGATTTAAATGAATGTGCAAGCTCAATATTTCTCATCGTGTTTATAAATCCGGGTATTTTTTCTCCGATCCACCGGTTTAAATGGATTGTTTGATTGTGTCTCAACAACAACAAATGATCGCGAGGTTTTCCATTTTAATCAGATACAGATCTTATGATTATTGATTAATTTGTGTGAATATTGCAAACAAACAATCACAATGTGTGTGAGCGGTTTCAGATGACAAACTACCTGAAGTCCTGTCAAGGACTAGTCTGGGTTTGTCTTCTTTCTTTCTTTTTTTTTTGGTAGCCCTACGTCACACCTGGATTGTGTGGCTACGATGTCAATTTCTGTTAGTTTTGAGATTAAATGAAGAGCTTCTCAGATGTTTCTCCTGAGGAGAAAGACGTCAGTAATTTCAATCATCTCTACAGTTGCAGATCTCAACTCTATCTATCTATCTATCTATCTATCTATCTATCTATCTATCTATCTATCTATCTATCTATCTATCTATCTATCTATCTATCTATCTATCTATCTATCTATCACCCGTCAGCCAGTGGAAGTCTGCAGTGAACTAAAGAGAAGTTCTCGTCTGCTTTGTTGGCGGTAGCCTACTTGAGATTATGGTTCTCCCACTCAAGATGACTCAAATCTGTTTGCCATAAGGCATGAGTGCTTGATTCCTATTTTTGGACATCTTTAAAGTTAAGAAAAACATAATCTGATTTGGTCATAATCCGACTATGACCTGATTTGGCCATAATCACGAATTGGTGGTGGCTAATTTTTATGAATTTGTACACTCTCATTTGTAATTTTTTGTGCGATCTGGTTACGCATGAGGGTGAGGTTCATGGGTGGACCTTCATGCCTACTTTTTCCCCAAAAATCCTATGTTTCCATATGAATCACATGGTGCAAATTAATGCGCAATCTCCACCTCGTAAAATAGTTTTCTCATAAGATTAGGTTGGTCATTTTTAGCCTTTCTATGACATGTAGATGGCATTGTCCTCTAGTGCAGTCACGTTTTCTTTTCCATACATTGCTCTTTACAACCCTCTTTACAGTCAGGGGCTTTACATTAACACATTTCTAAAGACATATTCCCTGTGCTCTAGTAAATCATGGGTTTAGAGCCTTGGAAATCATATCAGAAGAGTTTGAGCATAGAACTAAGCTATAATTTGTTAGTTTACCACTTCTCATCTTGGTAGAAAGACCTCGCCCACACTTACAGTCCTCAGAGTGTTTCGTTTTCCCATCCTCCTCATTCTCCATGGCAAAATGCATTTAGGTAAGTGAAAGTGAGAGTAAGGTTTAACCAAATCGACCCTGGTTTGAATCTGTGAAGGGCTGGATAGTATCATCAACCTCACTTGACCGTTCAGGTCTTTGGTAGGAGAAATTAAGCACGAATGTCTGGATACTGAGCGAGGCAGCTCACAGTAAAGCAGCCGTATTTTGTGTTTATCTTTGGGTTTTGCCTTCTCTGTTGACTTTTGTTTCATTTTAATAAGTTCCAGTTCTGTTGTTGTACATCCTGGTTATCGCTGGCGCTTTGCCAGAGTCTCAATGTCAATGTTAATTCTAGGGTTTAGCAGAGTGGATTCACAGTGCAACTGTGTTTTTTTTTCTTCTTTTCTTTCATTTTATCTTCCGCCATGTTAATTTAAAAGTCCAGTCACTTTGAAAAGTAATAGCATGCCTTTACTCAACAATCTGCACGATTTGAGGAGACATTATGTCTGTAGCACAAACAGTGTTGGATACTTTAAATTAGGGTTTGTTCAAATCCCCAACCCTAAGTATGCTTGCCTTAGTAGTATGCACCACAATAAAGAAATCTAAAGCTGTGAGTGTGCACACTGACTGTACGATTTATAATAGTCCTTTACGATTGTTGCTTCTCACTATACGGACATGATCCTCGCTGTAAGCCGTATTACACTGTAGGATCTCAGTTGTGATTCATGTCAGACATGTTAAAAACGGACACACGCAAGAAGACTCGTTCTGAGATTTACATCATCAATCCGTGACACGTTCTGTTACTCTGAGCTGCATTATACACTGGATTGAAATAGGGCTGTGAAACGATTAATCGCATCCAAAATAAAAGTCTGTTAGTGTTTACATAATATTTGTGTGTGTGCATGTATATATTTAAGTGTGTTAATTTTTATGTTATTTATATATAAAATATTATATACACTGCCGTTCAAAAGTTTTGGATCGGTACGATTTTTTATGTTTTTTAAAGAAGTCTCTTCTGCTCACCAAGGCTGCATTTATTTGATTAAAAAAATAATATTGTTAAATATTATGACAATTTAAAATAACTGTTTTCTATTTTGATATATTTAAAAATTCAATTTATTCCTGTGATCAAAGCTGAATTTTCAGTATCATTACTCCAGTCTTCAGTGTCACATAAATCCTTAATAAATCATTCTAATATGCGGATTTGATGCTCAAAAAAACATTAATTATTATTATCAGTGTTGAAAACAGTTGTGTACAATTTATTTTCAGGTTTCTTTGATGAATTGAAAGTTCAAAAGAAAAGCATTTATTTGAAATGGAATCTTTTGTAACATGCATGTGTGTATTTATACACAAAATAATTATACACAGTACACACACACATAAACACAAACTTTTATTTTGGATGCGATTAATCGTTTCACAGCCCTAGATTGCAATGGTGACTGGCAAACAAAAACGATCTCTAGCATTCATTTTGATCATGGCTTTACTTAAAAAAAAATTTAAAATTAAAAGAAGAAGATGTGTGTGGAGCAAGTGTAGGTTTGTTGTTGTCTCACTAATTGCATCATCAGGTTCTGCACTCCTATTGGTTTTTGACTTGACGGTTGTCAAAGGAGAACTTGCACTGCAGGACTGTGACACTGACACTAAAATGTGATGTAAAATTTGATCGTCATGGTCAAACTAGCGATTAAAGACTTTGGCCTAAGATCAGAGAAATCTTTTAGGATTCAAAATTTCTCCACATCGTGGCCAAAATCGTACAATGTGAACCTGGCTTAAGACGAGAATCAGAGTTGCACTTCAGAACTGAGACTCTGTAATAAATGAACATCTGATAACTTCAAGGTATCCCCTAAATCTGGAGTACTAGTGTTCATTCCGATGAGCTGTTTATCCCACAGTGAATTGGAGCAATTAGCTATTGCATCCCCGTCTTCAGTAGTGTTCATCTGTTGTTTCTCTGCATTGCCCGTGGCTGTTAATGGTGCTTTCACGAGGAGGGACTGATGCTCTTAATTAGAAGTGCTCATGACACCATCGAGGGCTCTCGAAGAGGGGGCCCGGATCCCGTGAAGTGGCCTTAATGCTTTTCGGAATTCTGTGAATGCCTTTCAATGAAAGCCGTGAAAGTTTAAGTCTGCTCCAAATGAGATCATTGGAAAAGCAGCTTTTTAGGGCAAAATTCCGGTTAATTGGTAACGTGCCGACGCAGTGGGGCCTTTGTCCTCCCTTCACTGGGACCCTCTGTCTGTGAGGAGTGATATACTCAGCTTTGGGCTGCGTTATGAATGACACACTTGTTTCTGTTGACTGGCTTTGAGAATTGGCATGCAATAAAAAGTGGCTTCATCTTTAGAAATGCTATTATGTGAACGAGTGATCGTAGGAGGCATGATCCGAGAGACAGAGAGGAATCAGAGGACAACATAGAACACATTTCGGGAAGCTGCTTGACCAAATTATATCACTGGGGCCACTAAGTAAACAATTGCAAAAGAGATATCAAAGGAATACTTTCAAAGATTACTCGAATCTCCCGTAAATATTCTGTAAATCATAAATATCCAAAAATTGCTTCTAAAACACAAGATATATATACATTTTGCATTTCAAAAATACAAACTTTCCAGTGCCTTATTGAAAACATATTGAATGAATAATTCAGTGCTTGTCAAACACAAGTTCTTTCTTTCTTTCTTTCTTTCTTTCTTTCTTTCTTTCTTTCTTTCTTTCTTTCTTTCTTTCTTTCTTTCTTTCTTTCTTTCTTTCTTTCTTTCTTTCTTTCTTTCTTTCTTTTTTCTTTCTTTCTTTCTTTCTTTTTTAAGTAATTTATTTATAGTATTGTTTGTCAACTCTGTTACAGACAAATGAGGCAGTGTGTAGAAATAACAGAAACCGAGTTTGTCAATTTTAAAGGGATACTCCACTTTTTTTGGAAATAGGCTCATTTTACAACTCCCCCAGAGTTAAACTGTTGAGTTTTACCGTTTTTGAATCCATTCAGCCGATCTCCGGTTCTGGCAGTACCACTTTTAGCATAGCTTAGCATACATCATTGAAGTGGACAAGACCATTAGCATTTCTCAACAAAAAAATGACCAAAGAGTTTTTATATTTTTCCTATTTAAAACTTGACTCTTCTGTAGTTACATCGTGCACTAAGACCGACGGAAAATGTAAAGTTGCGATTTTCTAGGCTGATTTGGCTAGGAACTATACTCTCATTCCTGCGTAATAATCAAGAACTTTACTGCCGTACCATGAGTGTAGCAGGCGTAATGATATGATGCAGCGCCTGAAAATAGTTCCGTTGTGTTGACGGAAGGCAGCCTATTTTCAGGCGCTGCGTCATATCATTACGCCTGCTGCACTCATGGTACGGCAGTAAAGTTTCTTGATTATTACGCAGGAATGAGAGTATAGTTCCTAGCCATATCAGCCTAGAAAATCGCAACTTTACATTTTCCGTCGGTCTTAGTGCACGATGTAACTACAGAAGAGTCAAGTTTTAAATAGGAAAAATATCGAAACTCTTTGGTCATTTTTTTTTTTAGAAATGCTAATGGTCTTGTCCACTTCAATGATGTATGCTAAGCTATGCTAAAAG